GCTGAGGTGACATGTGCTTTGCGCCACAACGGCGTGCACTTTTTCGACATCTCAACTTCCAAAAGTGGTCCGGAGCTGAGGTGTTTTGTACATTTTGACTTCGAAATGTGCTTCGCGCCACAACGGCGTGCAATTTTTCATCTCTCATCTGGCCAGCTGGCTCCGCACCCGCCGCTTTAGCGAGCCTACTTTTCGACCCTGCGGAGCCACAATTCGTTGGAAAAACACAGTGTTTCGCGACTTTCCTACCTTTTCGCCCATCTGCATCTTCTCTCTTCTGACTCTTTCTCTTCTACGCTTCTCTCTTCTAATCTTTCTCTTCTCTCTGCCTCTGCCCTACTCTGCTTTTCATTTGTCCATATTGTCGGAAATTTGACTTCTAAACTTCCTTCGATAAAAATGTAGGTGCGTTTTCACAGGAACATTGCAGCGTCTTCGTTGGCCGCTGACTGCAATGTTCCCCAGCGGCCCCCTGCAATAGTAAGAAGTTTTAAATCTATTCAGATGGTACACACACTAGACAAGAACTGGATCATTGTAGTGACCCGTTGGGAACTGAATCCCATAACCTGCAATTAGATTAGATAGATAGATAGATAGATAGATAGATGTATGTAAATAAATAAATAAATAAATAAAAATAAATAAATATATATATATATGTATATAGTGATCGAACTCAACCATGATTTCATGATTTCCCACCACTTGCAATATGTTCTGGTATAAGGATTTTCTTCGTTGTTTCTTTCGCTTAAATTTCGTCAAATTTCTCAGACTTTTTGTTGGGTGCTTTGTGGCAAAACGTTTTGCCACAAGATTTGCCACAAATTCTTTGGTGAGAATTTCGTCCGGATTTCGTCAGAACTTGAATTGAAGCAGCGAAATGTTTGACAAAATTTGAACAATTTTCTTTTGGCAAAATGTTGTAGCAAAACGTTTTGCCAGAAGGCAAAATTTCGCACCCTCTCGCGTTTTGACGAAATTTTTTCTTGTGGCACAACGTTTTGCCACAACATTTTGCCACAACATTTTGCCACAACATTTTGCCACAGAAACAATTGCCAAAATTTAGTCCAAAACTTCGTTGAAATTTCGTCAAATTTGAGTTGAAGCAACGAAATCTTTGACGAAATTTCAGCAAAATTTTCGCGATCATTTTTTGTGGCAAAAGGTGTGGCAAAATGGGTTGCCACAAGGTGCCACGAAATCTTCAACGAAATCTTTAAGGAATTTTCAACGATCGGCTGACGATATACCAGGCCTATTGCAAATCATGAGCAGTACCATCACAGTACATAATATATACACACACATATACATATATATATATATATACATGTATGGGCTATGGTGGCCACCAGCTGCGACTTAAATGCGCCCAGGTGCACCACCAAAGCCCAGCAGGTACGTTTACACGGGTCCCGGGGAGGTGTCTTCGTTGATCACCGACCTCCCCGGGACCCCGGTGATCCCTTGCTGACTGTAATAAGACAGAATATATAAGATAGAAAACATGAACCGGTGGCGAAGTTTTACGATGTTTTACGTCTATTCAGACGTTTCACACACACAAAGCCTGCCGCAGCAGTGTGGATGAAATGAAAATGAGCATGAGATGGAAATAATCATGAAATGCCAGACTACCCAACCGGAACAGGAGACCGGGAACGCAAAAGAGGACGGAAAAAAGGGAGAACACCAGCACCAACACACCTAGCCCAGAACGGGCAAATCCTGAAGGGCAAGGGAAAAGAAAAAGCGGACGGACGACTGGCCAATCACCGACAGAGGAGGGGGGGCGGACGGAAGCACCTGACACAACTTTCAAGGGAAGAGCCACACCTACCTCAGCACGCGAAAGACCCAATCCTGACCAAACACGGGGGCACACATGAAAAAAACAGGTGAAACCATCAACCAGTGCAAAGGTTCGCGTTCAGGCAGAAAGGCTTTCCAATTTCAAGTCACAACCCTCTGGACAGCTGAAGTGTTCAACCCTTCGAACTGGTGCACAATTGAACCTCACCAACGGCCAGAAAAGAAGAAACACCATGCTTGCAAGCATGTCCTGATACCCGTGTTGCATCATGACGGCACTGTCAAACGCATAAGTGTTCACGAGCACTGCACTCTCTTGGGCAAAGCTGAAAAAAGATGTTTTACGGCTTCCTGCACGACTACAAGGCTAAGGCGGAAAACTGTGAGTCCCCAACACAGCGGGCAGTTGTTCAAAACGTCGACATTCGACAGGCTGAGAAGCGAACATTGGCCAGCTGTTCCACTTTACTGAAACGAATTACTAGGTTAAAACTAAAAACTGCAAATTCAGAGACCAAGTCGAAGGATCCAACATCCCACCTAGACAGGCATTCCCCGAGGGGCTCACGGCATCTTGCCGAACAGACGTGATTAACACACCTGCTCAGAACTGTCATTGCGAATTTTGTTGCGGAATGCATCGAACCTGCAAAAACATCAACAATAAAATGACAGGATGAATATACATACACATAAATAAATAAATATATATGTATATATATATGAAGAGAGAGAGATATATACATATACATATATATACATATATATATATATTTACACACACACATATACATACATGCATACATGCATGCATGCATGCATGCATACATACATACATATATATATATATTTACACATACATATATATATATAGTGTCCCCTAAAAAGATAGAAAAGTTACAACCTGAAAAACGACGGGAAGTGTTTTCAGGTTTGCATTTTTTCTATCTTTAGTATCGGGTGTAAATTTACAGGATTTCCTCAATATTGATGATTTTAAGTGCACAACTCCCTGTAAATTTAGAGGCGATGCTAAAGATAGAAAAGTTTTGAGCCATAAAAATGATCGAATTATGTTTTCTTCTCACATATATGCAGACGATACTAAAGATAGAAAAGCTTGGAAAAGCTGAAGCCCTGTAAATAGCGCACTTTTCCCATTTCCGGAGCCTACAGCTGTGATGGTTTCGTCTTTGGTCCATGTTCTCAGAAAGCGTTTGGCTTTTTGAAAGGCCATTGTGTCCTTGTTGATCCTTGTTGCACTTTTGAGCAGCCCCTTGCATTTTGTCGGGCTATGGCTCCCGAAAGTCTAGCCAAAGTTGGCCCTTGTTTCAGCAAACTTCTGCATTTTTTCTATCTTTAGTATCCCCGGCCCCTACCTATTTGCATTGCATCCTTTACCACACAAGCTGGGTCAGAACCTGCATGTATTACTTTTCAGTTTTCGCGGCCCCACCACGCATTTCCCAACCTTAAAAAGAAACAGAATGCACCCCAAGTCAAGGGTTTCATTTGTGTTGTTCATGTCTTGTAATCCCTTCTCCCTAATACTAAACGTCCCCCCTAATAATAAACACGGCAGGTAGTTTTTAGTATTAGGGGGGTATTTAGTATTAGGGAACCCTAATATTAAATTAAAACCCTTAATAATAAAAACTATTTTTTCCGATCTCAAAATCAATCAAAATTCTTTATATAACGCGATGAAAATTGCCAAAAATTGGATTTCGAAGCTTCCCCCAAATACTAAAATTAAAGCCCTTAATGGATGTGAGGCTGAGTGGTGGATCGGCAACGCCAGGGATTCAATCCATCATGGATGCGACAGCCCACCTGGACAGAAAGAAAGAGGAGGCAGCTTGCCGCAAGGATGGGCTGAAGGGTGTGGTCCTGATACTCCCCAAGAAGGGACAGATGGCTAAGGGTCGCGTGGCAAAGCCAATCACTCCGGCAGCAGTATATATAGAGGCAGAAGAGGAGAGGATTCTGCAGGCGCTCCAGGAGGAGCTGAAGATGGTGAGCGCACCCATCCTCAACCAGAAGTGGTGCACGGTGACAACGGCCCAGCTCGTGGACTACCTGCTGGTTAGGGAGGAGGAGGGCATGGGGCCTTCGGTCCCAGAAGTTGGGTGAGCTAGGGTTTCAGCCAAAGCCGTCTGGTGGAGACCGTCGCCAGGGCCGCCAGGGACCTCCTCAAGAAGCTGGAAGACCGCACGCCACCTAGGAAGACAGCACCACGCCTCCTCTCCATGTTCATCCCTGCACTGGAAGGGCTCGCAGTGAGCCGATCAGCACAGGACCGCATCAGAGCAAGCCTGGTCAAATTGGTGAAGATCTCAAGAGGACGAAGACAACAGAAGCGGGAAAGCGCGTGAAGGAGCTCCTTCCACATCTCTTCACTGCATGGGTCGGGCATCAGCATTGGCTTGCAGAAGGGATGGAGGCGCTGGGGAGGGCATTGGGTGGAGTGTATGAGCTGCCAAGATGACGCCCCGGCAGGGGTAATGCGCTACCAGGAAGCAGTGGCCTGGAGCCCTGAAGTGATTGCAGCTCTTGATGCCCCGGGGCGGCTGCGCTGTGATTGCGATGCGTTGCCGCTTAAAGAATTCGCGCAGACATCCCGACGGCGCATGGGGCGTAGGGGGAAGAAGCCGGTCAAATGTTTAGTTTTGTTGCCACTGCATATGTATTTCTTTCTCCGCAACACTTTAAAAATGCATTCGGGTTCGTGGCTTCTATCAGTTTTTTTTGAAAGTATTTTTTTGCACAAAATTTCGCAAACTAAAACATGTGTGGTTTGTGATCACGAAAAACGGATTTTTTTAAAATTAAATCATGTGCAGAAAAGTTGCGCTCCCACAGTCCCATGTTCTGTTTTTTTCTGGGGCGCTGATGCCTGGCGAAGCTGCTTGAATTGCACTAACTGCCAGCCCCTGCCCTGTGCACTGTGCGGCGCCAGGTGTTTCAACAAGATTTGTTCGGAGCCCTCATTCGGGTGGTTGAACTTGGGCTGGACACTTGCAAAGACTTCGAGGTCACCAATCTATTGTGGGCATGCGCTCAGCTTGTCAAGCACCTTCCCACCAAAGTTGGCATTGCTCCAAGTGGTGTTGGAGAGTGCCTTGCAGAGCAAGTTGGACAAGCACTTGGTGCGCTGATGGATGCCGTTGAAGTCTATTTTCGGGCTCGGCTTCAGAACATGACAGGTCAGATTCTCGTCTCAGCACTTGTTTCAGTTGCCACGTTGTCCTCGCTTGAGGCTCTCTCGTTGGCTATGCTTTTCGGGAGCATTTGCAATACTTTGCTCCTGAAGAGTAGCGAACTGTCGTTCAACAACAAGACTCAGGTAGGAGTTGCATGCCAGATCATGAGCCGACACAACGAACAAACCGTTCAGGCCGTCAGCATGTCCTGCTCTGAGACGTGCCCGGAGTTGGCTATATATTTCCGGGTTTGATGCCCCACAACCCCCAGTTTGATGTGCACGTTCGAAGATATTCAAAGAGCTGGAGGAGAGTTCCCAGTTGCTCATGCCAAGCTTCAAAGCAGTGCAGCCTCGTTCATCCAGTCTTTGAATCATCGATGCCGGATAGAAATAATCTAAAGTTGTCCAATTTAAGAGTTGCATGGAGATGTGAGTTCGGTCAGTCAACGGCCCGACATGTTTTCTGATCATCACTCAGTGGCTCCTTGCAGTTCTCATCCGCCAACCCAGGATTTCTGGAAAAGGGGTGTCTGGAATTGCGCCCTTAAGGACTCCTGTTTATATTCTATTTTACCCAAGGAGTTCTTACTCCTGTCATGTGGTGATGTGAGACCGAGAGACGGAAACGGATGAAGTGACGAATCCCCAAAGCCCCCAATCAGTTCAGGTACTTGGCTTGTAGTGTTATTAGGGGTGTAGACGTGTTTTTGCTCCACATTTTGCGCCAAACCATCCTCATGCTGGGATTCTCGGTTTCAACGTCAGCATGACGAATCCCAATCCAAACTGTACGACTGTACGGACTCCCAATTGAGCCTTGCTCGCAGCGAGGCAGGTTCGGGGCCTAGCGACCATGACAACGTCTTGACCGAGTCTTTCTTGACCCGCAGTCAAAGCTTTGCAGCTTAGTATGGGTCAACATTTGAGTTATTTGAGTTCCCTGTTGGATGATGTTGAACGCCTCAGAGATAAACAGAACAGATTGCATTGCAAGTTTGAAAGCTCTCATTTGGTGTGTCGAGTTTTGACCCTAGTAGGCTTGCAAGAGCTGTTCCCAAATGATCTGCAAACCCTTGCCCAATGGCACGCCAGTTTCTGAGTGCACTGAGTACTGAAGGATAGATATGCTGATAGAGACGCAATGTGTGTGTGTGTATATATATATATCTGCTGATCTGTTCAAATAGAGCACTTGAAAGCTATTGACTGGCGTGACACTGCTTTTGTCGGGCTTTGAATCAGTTGCAGGCCCTAAATGAACCGAGCGCTTCCCTTGAGAATCTGGGAAGCCTTGCTGGAGATCCAGCATTTGTCAATGTCAATATTCTAATAAGTATACGGCGATTTAACGGCGATTTAGCTGTGCGAGGAAATTCGTCGGCCATTTAATTTAATTCAAGCGACGGGACCTGCCTGGCCGTGGCAGCGCATGACTTGTCTGGCTGGCGGGACGAGACTTGAGGCTAGGTTGTATGATGGGAAAGGTGAGCCACTATCACTATCACCATCACCATTGACAGATGTGGTTTCTGGAACTACCGTTGATGCCAAAGTAGCCATTTGTCGAGATGCGACGGGTATGGTTAGATCGTCGGTATACCTTGGTCCGTGGACGTATGCTTTTGTGCGTTGGATCCTTTCATCAAGAGCTCTCAAGTGGGCCCGCAGTCCCAAGGCGAAGCTACCATTTCTGCAGCAAGCCGAGGAATTCTGGCAGTGAGTGCCGATCCGGTGTTCCGGTTTGTGTCTCTCAGATTTGGCACCCTGGTGCTAGTTGGAGTTTGAAGCCGCATCCAGATTTTAAAGGCATTGGCCAATCCTTCCAGCACTTGGTGCATGCTGCGAATTGCTTTGCCTCGAGCCTGTGCTGTGCGGCAACTGGCCAAGCAGCACAGGTCAGCACAGTACAGTGATCTAATTTAAGTCAGCAAAGACTTGCGGAGAGTAAGAGGTGTCGAGTTTTGTGCCATTGACTGCACATCTTCACTGCCACGTCGACGTAGAAGTTTGTTTGGGTACGCAGATGTGCCAACGGCCTTCTTGGTCATTGATTGAGATGTGCCTGCATCGCAGCTGTTCCAGTACTTTTGCTTCTCCAAGCTGATCATGCTGATTCTAATGCATCATGTGGGGCGCCAGATGGAGGCCTAGGCTTTTGTATGGCAGGCATGGCCATGGCACTGTGATTCCACACGAAATATGGAGTAAGTCGTAGTTGTATTCCGATATGATGCCAAACAATCCCACAACCACAAACACAGCGTTCATCATAATCATCGGTAACCATGGCAGCAAGCGCCAAATCATCCCTGCTCCCCTGGTTGCTTGGAAGCAGGTTTGTTCAATGACGCATCAGTACTGTGCCAGGCTTCACTTGCATCGAGTGAGGCTAGGCTAGACGGCTAGACAACCTGTTCTTGTGGGCTATTCACATGACTTCTCTTGTTGACCCCACTCAGCATCACTCAGCCTTTCTTGTTTGGTAATGACTTGTGAAAGAGGCAATCATATGTGGCATGACTCTGACTTGCTGTCACAGGCAGGCTTGACATGCCATGCCAATCAAATTTTGGACGTGATTGGCCTCCTTGGGCCTGGTGGGACCTTCGGAACGGACAATATTCGCCACAGCTTGTAGGGCCATATAGTCCATAGGCACAACAGAACCGAAGGAGTTGTGGAGTGGGTACTCCAGCATCTCAAGCTCACAAAACAAGCTGGTAGTAGCAGAAATGCAAGAATCATTCCAACAAGACGGGCCCAACTGCGAGTCGCGGTTCGGGAAAAGGTCGAACGACAGGAAGTATGGGTGCTAGAACAAGACTTGAGTCAAGCGCCTAGATGGCCGTTTTGATCCTCCACCTTCACGATACCGGATGTAGGGGCATTTGTTGGGTAGCGGTTTGAATTGTTGATTGCTCCAAAACTAAGGCTATGCCTCGCTTTGGTTTGTTTCCTGAGTATCCTGGCACAAATGTGGAAGGGACTGGCAGAAGTGGAGCCCTTTACAGATTTTACATAACATTTGTGGGTTGTGCTTTGCCATCCAAATTCGCCGAGATTTCTTGTAAACAATCATTGACCTTTATTGACGACATCATTTTTCGGGTCGTTTTGGGAGTGGAAGGGTAGGTTTGGATTTGGATGACTACAGCATTTCGGTCCTCTGCCAGGACCATGGTCAGGATTTGTCTCTCCACTTAGGGCTGCTTGGTGTGAATAGTGTGAAGGCACTGAAAGCTACCAAGAAAGATGCCAAGATCTCATATTCAAGCTTGTCTCAAAATTTGGAACTGCAAAATCCCATAGTTGATCATGACTTTCCCATTGAAGTTGCAGTTTTGGGATATCCACCATTGTGATAAAACAGAATATGGGTGTGACTCTGATTGAAATACAGGGGGAAAAAACAAGATCCTGTTTGTTTAAGCTTCTAATTTAATGAAGCCAATCATAGACCTGCCACTTGGGGATGGTTCGGCAACTAATCAGTTATTGTCATGGTAGTATTGGGGTTGGTTTCTACTTGGGTTTACCACATTGACTTAGTCATGAAAGCTAGCTTTCTAGCTGGAGTTAGCTTTGCTTTAGCAAATGTATTGGGGGTAGAGGAGTGCCTGTAAATGTGAAAGCTCTGTCGAGCCCCCCCCGCTGCAGCCCCCAGCGACATGTGAAATATCTCGTGTTTTGTATACCCCCTCCCCGGCAGGGAAGATTAGGGCCTATTGACCCGCACAGGTGTTTTGGATGAAATCCATATTTTCTAGTCCTTGTTTGACGCTTGATCCATTTTCTAGAATCAATTGAGCTCTCCAAACTCTTGTCTTTCCTTTTGCATTCCTCCTTTTGTCTTTGCGTGTCGTCGCTGAGCTCCAGAGGTCGTTTCTTTCAGGGCAATCAGACGAGGTTGTTTGCAACAAGCTCTCCTCCCTTGCTCCTCTTTTATAAATATATACGCATATTACCGCACATTGTTTGCGATGAACTTGTGGAAAGGTTGGCTCGCTAGAGCCTGTTGTGCGAGTGTTGGCTCTCTACGATGCAGATTCAACTGATGGGGTGAAGGGGCAGCTCTTTGAACGAGCTGGAGCCAGATTCTCTCGGCTTTCTTTCTTTTTTTTCTCTTCTTCTATTTCTTGTTACTGAGATGGACGGGAGCCCTCTTCTAGTGACTGCAGGACACCACAAGGCTTGGTATCAAACAAGAGAAAATTCATGAAAATTCAGTAAACACCGCAGCAACATAGCAGTCCAATGCAAGCCTTCTACGACAACCACCAAAACGAAGAGCGCTCAATTTAGCCGCTCAATGCATACAATTTTTATCTGCCATACCTTCACACCACAAGATTTGGTGAAGGTGTCAAACCAGTAAACAGAGAAGAAACACAACAGTCCAACACACGCCCTCTATCCAGAACCATCAAAATCCATCAAAATCCAATGTACTTGGTAGATACATTTTCTATGTCAATACCTTCACGCTGCAAGAATTGGTGAAGGTATCAAACCAGACAAAACTCAGTAGACAACGCAACATCACAGTCAAACACGCTCTATGTATCGTGAAGCACCAAAAGGTCGTTCATACAATCTAGCGAAGGTATATCCAAATAGCAAGCCAGGATGTAATCCGCAGAGATATCTATGAACACATGAAGAAAAGAGGATGTAGCACAAGCTGCTCCAGCAAAACTTCTCCGGTGCTCTCCATTACTATGTTTTTGCCTCAAATTCTTCAGACATATCACTCTTTTTATGGGCGCCGTATGAGCATACCATATGAGGAAAGAACAGGATAAACCATATACTCAAATATACTGTATATACATATACACATACATGTAATGGAATGTAATGTAAAGTAGCGTAGCGTAATGTAATGTAATGTAAAATGTAATGTAATGAATGTAGTGTAATGCCATGGTATAGTATGGTAGGTACGCATCCATGTAGCCAGTAAGAGCTCTAGCACGAATACGAGAGGAGGCTGCTGATAGTCTTTGCTAGAATTTGCACACTGACCAGAGCCACCTTCAGAGCAGCAACTAGCTTTGTCTCAAATGTTTGAAAACCTTCGGTAGTCAAAAGCGAAGACAGATATCATTCAAGTTGCATGAGCCGTGTTGACAACCGAGCTCGGCAGCACAAACTTTACAGGAAGCCTATACGAGGAAACTCGAAGTGCGAGAGCAGCAGAAAGTGCCCATGAGACACAAACACACACACACACCTTGCCAGACTGAACATCGCCCCTTGGGCACCCTATGATTTGGACTTTCCCTCATCAGCTCGACAGGTTGACCCGACGGAAAGGCGGCAGCTCCATCTCAGGGCTCAGAGGCGGCTTTGGAGATGATCTTCAACCCATGGCCGGTATGTCACTTTTGGATGGTGTGTCCGCCTTCCCAAGGTCTTGTCTCCCCTTGTCTCCCAGCTTGTCTCCCCACATGTGTGCCTTTGTTGATTGTCTCCCTTCTCGTTTCCCTTTGTTGGATGGTGTGTCCGCCTTCCCCAGGCCTTCTCTCCCAGCTTGTCTCCCCGCTTGTCTCCCAGCTTGTCTCCCAGCTTGTCTCCCAGATTGTCTTCCAGCTTGTCTCCCAGCTTGCTTGTCTCCCAGGTTGTGT